ATAATAGCTTGCATGAAAGCTAGATAAGAGGCTTCATACAAATTCCAGCGACAAGGATGGGATCGGCTATAATGCCTTGCACAGGTCAGTTTTCACCAGGCAAAGAAAGGTTCAATAATCAAAACCATGCAGGCCATGAAAATCTTTGATTTCCAAAACAAGCCTCATAGCAATTTATGACACAATCACAACGTTCAATTACTCAAATGGGGCTTGGGACTCGGACCCTGCCCTTGCCGACTAACTTGAGCGAGTGGACTAGCCTGAATCCTGTCCTAGTCCAAAAAAGGGCCCCAAAAAAACAGAGAAAAATGCAAAGAAAAAAGAAAAAGCAAAAATAACAAAATCAATAAAACTACTCAATCAAAAATGTATATAAAATGTTAAATAAGAAAAGTTTTGATGTTACTACTTGTTAAAATATAGTACATATGAAAGAAATAAAAATGAAACATTTAAAAATCATAAAAATTATAAAAAATTAATTTACATATAAAATAAATGACAATTCAAATAGAACTAAACTAACAAGCAATTAATTTATGAATTTCAATTGAAACACTGAAACATACCCAAAACTTTGAGGCCCATCCCCTCACGTTCGGAGAAAATCCTCATCATTATAGCCTTTTCCCAGTTAATTGAGGTCGGCTACACGAATCTTGGTCTGCCAGTTTGCTCTCTATTAAAAGCCATACCCTCAATGAGCCCATAAGTCCCCATAGTTTTTCGAACTACTTCCAAGCACATCCTTTTGTGCCTACTCCTTGCCTTTTTCAATCCTTCCACTTGAACTAACTTGCACCTCCTACCTGGTGTTGTACTTGGTTGGCGCCACACATGACCAGCCCATCTAAGTCTACTCTCTCTCATCTTATTGCCTATTGGTGTCACACCTAAATTCTCCCGAATGGATTCGTTTCGAACTCTATCCCTTCTCGTCTTGCTACTCATCGATCTCAACATCTTCATCTCCGCTACACTCATTCTATGGGTATACTATTTTATGTCGCCCAACATTCTGCCCCATAAAGCAAAGCTGGTCTCATCGTTGTCCTATAGAACTTGCCCTTCAGCTTCATTGGTATGCGACGATCACATAAAATTCCAGTTGCACGCGCATAGAGCAAATCAATAGACTCAAATCTCTATAAAAGCTTCCTCACAAAACCAATCCCAATCAAAAGCCCCAAACTGATTTTGGGTTTCGGGTTCGGATCAAGGAGATCCTAAATCTGAATTCGAAAAATCTATAATCCTTTTTTTATGATTCTCTTTTGTGAAAATCAAGGCCATGGTTGGATTAAGAAAACAAAAATGAGCTTACGGACCAGATTTCATCAAATATTAACCATTATTTGTGAAGAAATCGCAATTTTTCATTGGTAAAATATGTGGCCCATTTTGCTATCTGCAATTTTTCCAATTAGACCTACACCCCTTCCAAACGTTTACTCCCACTTAGACCCTTGGGTTTACCAAAAACTCACGGACACTCTCATTTTCAAAACTCAGATAAGGACCCCCTCCACACATTTTTCTGCCGCTTAATTACATATATGGCCCTTTACTTTTATAAAATGTCAGAATCGTCAATTAATGAAAGGGGCTTCCATGAGCCCCTCTCTTCCTCTGCCTCTCCATCCAAGAGCTTCCCTGAACCTCCATCCACCACACCCCTCTCACTTTGTTCACATGCATACTCACTCTCTCTCTCTCTCTCTACCCCCTGCCCCCTCTCTACTCATGCTTCATGCCCTCTCTATCTCTTTGTGCTTTCATGAATCAATGTCTCTCCCTCTCTTCCTGCGGAAAAATATCTCTGATCCCTTCCATCACTCTCTCTCTCTACCCAATATTTCATGCTCTCTCTCTCTATGATTTCATGCACCACAGATCACTCTCTTTTCTCTTCTCTTTCTCTCCCATCAAGAGGAGGGATGGCTTCTTCCTCTCTCACTCTTTTCTTGTGACTTGTCCAACCTGAAGTAGAGAAGAACCCTGCCTTTTCACCTTGCAGGTTGCTTATCTTGCAGCTTGGCCACTAAATCTCCTTGCATTTTCACCATGTCGGTCTATATCTCTCTACTCTTTCTCATCTCTCTTACTTTTCATTGAATCTTCATTTGTTTGTCAGATGCTAATGCTTTCAGCACCTGATGCGCTACCCTCTTGCACTAAATTTACTCTCTCTCTCTCTCTCTCT